CTCACAAGTTCTCTACTCTCATGAGCCCCCCCCTATCTCTACCCTCATGAGGCCGCCCCCCCCAAAACACAAGAAACCTACTGAATCCCCAGTTATGCGCACAATATCTCCAGTCGACCCAAAGTTCTCATCCGCAATAACCGTACTCTGGACGCTGAAGGTCCTCTTGTGATGGTTATACAGTGGCCTCGAACGGTATCCCTGCCTGCTCCCGCCATTACGAGGGTGAGGCATGTGCCGGTCCTCTTCTTTCTTGTATCATAGGTCCCTCTAATCATGCTGGTATTCCAAAGAGTTGGGCGTTGTAATTGCATGCCTGACACGCTGCAGGGTCGCCTGCTTCAAGTATCCCCTGGGGGAGATATAACAATCGTCGAGTCCCCCATCCTGTTCCTTCCACTCTCTTCAAACCGCTCTCCAAGCTCTTGTTCCTGACCTACCTGGTTCTTCGAGGTCCATTTCTCTCTCTGTGTTCCATCTTCAGCCGCTCTCGTTTCTGTATTCCGACCCGCCCTCATGTCTCCAGCATCCAACGCAGGTCCTGCAGATGGCAGTATCACCCACAAGAGCATCGCAGTCTCCTCCACGGGAGTTGGTGATCCTGACGCGGCTGGTGTGAGCTGTGCAGGTCAGTTCAAAGTACCTTTGTAACCCTAGGGATCAAAATCTGAAGCGCTTTAGATTCCTCTGCCACGGGCGTGTCCAGTCCACTTCTTCACTTTATCAATGCGCCGCCTCAGTCCGATCCATGGCATCCCAACCGGGCTGACCGGAAGCACCTCAATCGCCTTCTTTCACAGCTTGATGTCGTCCTGACAGCAATTGAGGCATTGGGAACGGGGCATTGATCTTTCCAACGTCGGCCATGCGACTGGCGTAGAGGATGTGCTCCAAGGGCAAGCCGGGAGCACAACTTCTTCCATTTTCTTCCTGTGTTTGTTCTGAGGTTGCAGCATAATTACCCCGCGCGGGGTCTCGCGTGCCACTCTTGACCATGATTATGGCTCGTCTTTCCAAAATCGTGGTGTTGATGATTGATCTGGTGGACGGAGCAGTCCCGGCACACTCTTTGAGTCACACTGACACACTGACAACCACATCAGCTTCCGGTGGTCCTCGCGTCATTGCCATTGCGACGCATGGTAATTGTGAGATACGTATGATAATGTCAGCACAATAATTCAGAAAGCAAGGATTAAACTTTGAGGTGGTGTTGAATGTTCTTTAGGTCTGGCGCAGGAGTCACAGTTGTGTTTGACGTGTTTGCGGGGATTTTCGAAGGCAAACTGTTCATTTGGTCATACCATCCTCCAAAGACCGCACCCGAATGGTGACCGACTGACTAAATGAGTCTAGTCATTTGAAACTTTATCTCCTTACTGCAACGAGCATTTTGTATGAAAATGTATCAAGTCTGACAGCTTTGTCTGACCAAAAACAATTCCCGCGGATATGCCTGTCGACGAGCGTTCGCCCGCCGCACAAATCGCGCGGCGGCCTGAGTCGACCGATAATGAACGAACAGCCACGCTTCTGATTGGTTGCCCTTATCAGCGCTTATCTATTGGCTAGAGAAAAGACAGATAACGTGACTTTTATGGATCTTAGTTATTCCGATCCTAATTCCATCGCAATATAACCATTCCACTTTCCAATTCCGCCTCGTCGCCGCCGCCACTCTTTAACTAACTCAACTTCTATCACCAGCAACATTAAATTGATTATCAACAGCCTCATATCATCGTTCTGTGACATAGAATCCATCTGTAAACAACCCTAATCAAAAACGCGTAGTTAATCGCTTCGCTGGCGTCTTGAGGAGTGCCCGAAGGGTTTACGCCTCACAGCCTATTTTTTACTCCCAACCATACTGGGAACTCGTCCCTTGTCCCTACAACCTTATCCTCACCTACTCCCCAGCGTTATCACTACCTTCGACCCCGATACCCCGGCTCGCAACTTCTCAAGCGCCCCTTGAATGTGCTCAACACCGTGGCCGACCACATCCGACGGCGGGGCCGGTTTGATCAGATCCTGCTCGAGTGCCCGCGGTAAGAAATCGGCGTATATCGCTTTTCCAAGTGCCTTATCTTGCTGCAGAATAGACACGGCAAAGACTTTGGGAGATTAGCGTGGAGCAAACCCAATGGCCACCAACTTTATACGAGGGACTCACTGCCGTTCACCTGTACGGTTGCAGGGAGTTCCTCGATGGGAGGTAGTGCCACCGCCATCCTCCCTCCTCCGAGCTGGGCAAGGACCTGCGCGACGTTCAACTGTGTATCTCTCGTCGCAATAGCTAGAAAACCCAAGATGTCAAATTCAGTGTTTCTTGCCGATTCGACATGACTTTCAAGGTTTGTCGATTGTAGTGTTCAGTCCTCACCATCAAATGCTCCTCGACAGGTATATTTCTGCAATGCCGCCGTCAAGTCACCCACGATACCTAGACTAGAGCGGTCAAACACGTCGCTCGCCCCCAGGCTCTTGCACAGGTCAAAGTTCGGCGGGGACGCCGTTGCTATAACGTGATACTTTGCTGCCACGGCCAGCTGGATCGCGGCAGCCCCGATGCTCGAACTGCCTCCCCAGACGAGGATCGCCTCCTGCTCAGGGTGGCCTTTCTCCGCCGCGTCCACGGGAGACATTAGACCTAATCTGTCCTCGTGAAACAGGCCGATGCCGGCAGTCGAAATGGCCAGCGGCAGAACACAGGCCTCTTCGTATTTCATCCCGTTGGGAATCACGCAACATCCCACCGTCGGGACGACCGTATACTCCTGGAACCCGCCATGCCTGGCCTCATTGGTAGCCAGCCCGACCGCGTGGGCGAGCACTCTCTGGCCTTTCCGAAACTGCGTGACGCCTTCGCCGACCTCGACAATGTCGCCGGAGACGTCCTGGCCGAGGATCCGGGGCAACGACCCCGCGGGGAAAGCGCCGTTCTGTATCTTCCAGTCTATAGGGTTCATGGCGACAGCGCGATTCTGGACGAGAACTTCGTTGGCACCAGGCTTGCCGACGTCCGCGGGCCCGACCTCGAGCGGCGATTTCGCTTGACGGAACCATGCAGCGTGGTTTGCGGTTGCCATTGCGGGACCCGTTGTGTGTGTTTTTCTATCTATTTCGGAATTTCAACCAACTTAGCGGAACTTCGATCATTTGTGGAAGAAGTCACTCTAGATAGTCTGGATAAAAAGATATTGATGAATTTGTAATAAACATAAATGCGAGACTAGACCGGGTTAACCTATGATATGTAACATGCAAACGATTCTCCACAAACAAGGCCCGTTTGAATGTGTCGGCCTGACATCATCCATCATCCATTGCCGATCATTTGTTGCCCGGTGTCGGAGACGAAGTCATTGACAACATGGAGAGTGGAATACTCAACCATAATGGCGGCACTTACGAGTCCTGTTCAGCATATTTACAAAAGAGCAAAGTATTTGTAATCGACTAATCGGTAGTTGGGACAGCATCATGGTTCACGAGCAGACGAGCTCCCGAGAGGTATCGAAGGGCTTGATGTCGTACTGCTGGTACTGGAATTAAGACCACATTTTCTCCGAATGTTACAATGGGGTGCCATTGCTTGTAATCGAACTGAAAGCCTCAAAATCCTGGTGACAACACTTCACCTGAATATTGTAGGTGGCAGGAACCTAATCCCAAAATCTGCCAGGTTCAAGAGCTTTCAACCCCAAATCGGCCGCAACTTGCCTATCCAAATTACTTTTGCTGTTGAATTGGAGGCGCTGAGGAAGGCCTACCTACACGACCGGGCTTACATCAGTAGGAGGGTTGCTTTGGTCTCGTTACATTACGTCCCTCTGCCATGCTAGCCCGTCCTCCACAATCTTCTTGTCCTGTTCAATGGTCGAACATTCGTCGCGAAAGGCATGAAAAGTAACGAATGCACAATGTACTGGGTACTATTGTGTTGGCAATACTGTCAAGAAAAGAACAGGATGAGGGAGTGAGGGATCGAGGATTAGTTTGACACAAGTGTATTATATACCGACATGGATTGGGTTCGTCCTCAAAACACTTGTTATGCCCCTCTTTTCCCAACTTGCAGTCATCGGAACTGATAGCGCATTGACAGAATGAGGTAGTCGTGTACGAGTATTGCACAGCCACCACAGGCACAGATGTGCAGGGATTCTGATAGGAAACTGAGTCAACCCTCAAATTGCATCTTGTTGATCCACCATGTGATCAGCACCGCACTTGCGCTGTTCTTGGATAGCGAGCGGCGTCGGAGGATAGACTGCAGGTAGTGTTGCATCTGCCTCAGTCGGCGGTCAGTGGTCAGTGGTCAGTGGCCAGGAAACGGACAGCGTAGAGGGGCACTCTCATCGACAAAGTGTGCGGCCGTTGTACGAGTAGGAAACATAAAGGTCAAAGGGACCTTATTATGAGACAGATGCAGATGCAGCAGGTGGAAGGAGCTGCTTGAAGGAGAGAAGATTGTTGGACGATCAAGACAGGGGGTGAGCGTCATGCAACTCCACCAATTGGCCCAGTGGAATCTGGGCGTTGCCCCTTTTACCGGATTGGTTCAACGACGCGTTTCATCTTTCCTGCCACTATCCCTTCTCTCTTCTCTCATACTCCGTTGGTGCCCATCTTCGTACAGCTAGAGAGGCTCTGATAGACCCTCTCTCGCGTCCTCTCACTCAACCTCTCCTTCTCCTCCTCTTCGAGCCACACCGTTTGTGTCGCCCGTTGCCGCTCTTTTGCTCTTCAGTCTCTCCTTTGCAAACTCGTCGTCGCGCTGTGCTGCGACGCGTCCTCACATTCATTTACGATTTAAATTGTGTTTTGCATACAAGTACGTGAAGTCCGAGCTTCTCGGACCCTCCTGCGACACTCACCTGTCACGAGCAAGACCTGGAGTCAACCACCAAAATCCCTTGAGCAAGACCTGTCTCTATCCTGTTTTGGCCTTTGTTCTCCAAAGGGTTCATACAGACAATAGAGCTGTCTGAGCCATGCACTCCTTCAGGACGACATCCATCGCCCTCCTCTCCCTCTTCACCACCACCCTCGCCCAGACCTTCACATCATGCAATCCCTTGGAGCGGACCGATTGCCCGCCCAACACTGCGCTGGGTGTCGGCAATTACTCGATTGATTTCACTCAGAATACAATGTCAGACAAAGTTTGGAATGTCACGGCTGGCGGAATCGATTATGGAGATGACGGTGCCGAGTTCACAATCAAACAGCGTGGCCAGTCGCCCACGGTCCAGACGAACTTCTTTCTGTTCTTTGGGCAAGTTGAGGTTATCATGAAAGTCGCCAAGGGTCAAGGCATAGTGTCTTCAGTTGTTTTGCAATCGATGGATCTCGACGAGGTGGACTGGGAATTCATCGGAGGCAACAACTCATTTGTTGAAACTAACTTTTTCAGCAAAGGAAATCAGACTGACTACGGCAATGCCATCTGGTATCCCATCAATGACCCCCAAAATGAATGGCACAATTACACATTGGATTGGTCGAAGGAGAAGCTTGACTGGATCGTAGACGGAAACATCATTCGCACTTTGACATATGAAGAAGCTAATGGCGGCCTCAAATTTCCCCAAACTCCCTGCGATGTCAGACTCGGCATCTGGGCAGGTGGTGATCCCAAAATGCCCAAGGGTACTATTGAATGGGCAGGTGGCGAAACCGATTACGACGATGCTCCCTTCACCATGACTGTGAAGTCTGTCAGAGTGTCAGACGCCAGCAGAGGTACCCAGTATGTGTATGGCGACACCTCGGGAAGCTATCAGAGTATTAAGATCCTCAAGTAAACATTGCCCCTCTCCTCCCACCTGGAAACAAACATGGCTAATCTTCCTCCCAGTGACACTAAACCTATCCAACTCGACGGCGAAAACAGCCAATCAAGCACTCAATCCATAAAACAGAAGTGGAATGGCCTCTCCCAGCAGACCAAGTACATCATCATTGGCGTTGTCTGCGGCGTCGTCATCCTCTGCATCCTTATCTTTGCATTCTGCTGCATCCGCCAGCGCCGTGCGGGTAAGCACGAGAAACTGGTCGAGGACGCCAAATACGAAAAGATCACCTCTGAGGTCATGGCGTACCGGGCAGACATGTCGAGGATGCGAGCCGAGCAAAAGATGATGGGCACCAGTGTTCACGTCAGCCCCGTGACTCCCATGATGGGCAATGCAGGAGTTTCTGTGCAGAATTTCGGCAGTGCGTCGCCCATGGTGGGTGGCGGGCGAAGCCCGAACCCGGGTTACGGATACGCAAGCAGCGGATATGCTAGGGGCTATCAGAAATATTGAGCATTGATGAAAGGTGATATCGTTGAAAAGGAAAGGACCAGGGCTGGGATATCTGGAACTGAGGGAGTGAAGAGTACCTGCAGTTCATTGTAAGATAAATGAGATCAGCAAGATGAGTGGATAGCCGGGGTTTTAACAGCAGCATTTTCATTTTGAGCTTTTGGCCGACGCCGGCTCCAATGTTGATTGTTTGTACAGCTCATGACTATTTCGTCTTGCTCATCATGTCTCTCGTTCCACGGCGTTCACATTCCAACCAGGCTTTCAAAGGCCCATGTTGGCCATATTGCGCTCTAGCTGCGCAGTCTCCTTGCCCGACTCCTTTGAGTCCTTGGTGTCTTTCTTCCCCAAGCGCATCATCTGGCTCAGCTTGGTCTTGACGCCTTTCCCGGCCGCATTGCCACTCCCGGTCGGTTCGTCAGGAACCACCTTCCCGCCCTTCAACGTCACCAGCTTCACTTCTCCTGGCTTGACAACCCTGGCAATCATGGGTTGTGGGCGTGGTTTTGGCTTGGGCCCACTGACTTTGACGTGCGACCGCATGTCGTCGGGCAGGTAGAAGCCAGTGTCGATGCATTGTCCCAGGAAGTTGATCTCGACCAGTTTCTTGGGGTCGAACCAGCGGAAGAATGGGCCAGCGTCGACTGCGAAGTTCATCAGGGTGAGATGGCTGATGGGCAGGTAGCGCATGTTTTCGAGAGGGAGGGTTTCGACCACGTCGATCTGAGCTTGTTTCATGGCTTGTTGGTCGAGGTACTCGCCATCACCGAATTCTTGGTGTAGGATGCCATTTCCGTGAAAGCCTAGATATTCGGCATCGACTTGTCGTTCAGGGGAGCCGTCGTAGGACCATGTCTCGTCGATCTTGCGGTATTTGTGCTTTGTGTCTTCATTCATTTCCGGCTCGAGTGCCATTTCAAGGTGGAGCTTGGTGAGGTTCTTGTTCAGCCAACAAGTTGCCCAGATGATCGGTTGATATGATCGCATCATGCCGTTCAACTGGAGATAGTGGAGGTTGTGAAACATCTGTAGAGGCTTGAGGTCCTTGAAAGGAAAGACGCCTTTTTGGTCGCCATCGCTGTTCTCCTCTTCATCATCATTGTCGATCTCGTCGAACTTGATCGGCCAGAACAGGTCGAGATTGAGGATTGGGCGATCTTTATCCAGATGGCGCCAGAGCTGGGGTCGGAAATGGACGATGGGTTTGTCAAAGCCGCCCACGTCGACACTAGCCCTTGGTGAGTCCATGGTAGATGTGGATGGTAGAGAGAAGGGTTGACATACAGAAGTTTGGCAAGATTAGAATCAGATTCAGTTTTGAAGGGAAATTTTGAAAATTGTTGACCATGCCGCACCCCAGCAGAGGCTGTGGTAACAGCGCGTTTTCCTCCTGAAGACTCTGCCAGTTTGTCCGACAGTGAATGTGGGCTTCTTGTCGCCGCTGTGCCAAACGGGGGTTTTCTTGGGGTCATTTCCTTTGTCAGACTCTCCTTCGTCGTGTTTGTCATTGGCCCAGACTGTGGAAGCTCTTTCATAACATCTACTTGCCCTGGACCTCTGGACAGTGTATCTATGGCACTGGTTGCGTAGGGAGAGGGCAGGGGTCGTGAGAAGTTAGGGGTGCGTGCAGAGGAAGGTGCCATGATGGGGGAAGCAGCAAACAACGAGGATTGCAAAGAGAATGTCCACAGCTTTGATGCACGAAGATCGAGCGAGCGAGACAGACATCGTGAGCCGCGCGACAGAATTTGAAGCCTTGAGTAATATTGAGAAGCGTTGAGCTCCTCAGTGCGACCGCTGAGGAGCGTTGCTCTTTGAAGCGCGGACTGCATCTACCTTTGGCAAGTCACCTTTTTCCAACCATCGACGAAGCTGCCATCATGTCTCATTTCCTTTCAGAACAGTCAACATCCCCTTTTGTCGTACATCTGGGGTTGAGCTGGCGACCATACGCATCTGGAGAGGCTCTCCATGGCCGACTCAACCACAACATTATCAAGACGAGAGACTCTGGCAGGTATGTCCCCTAATATTCAGTCCTGTGTGCAAGAGACGCATTCCTGTGGGAAGCAACTTTCGGAAGCAACTTTCGCACATCTTATATAGAAGTGAAGTTGCTAGAGGAGGCAAAAGTCCGCAGGGTAAAAGGGGGAAGGTTCACATGCTCTTATCTAATCTCTTGGCTCTCTTCATGACGCGCTCGCTTCCTTCCACAGCATCCCGTTGATATCTCCCTTCGCACACACCTTCTTTCTAGGAAATGGAGCTCATGTTGGTACGAGGCAGCTTATAATGCTTCCAAGAGGAACGGCCCCGGTCCGCAGCAGCAGCCATGGCTCCCATCCGTCGCTACCTGCGGATTAGCAAACACTCCGTCCTTGAGTGCCGCATCTTCCTCGAGAACCCTGCCGATGAACCAAGATGGCTCTTGAACGAAAGAGACCCCGCACTTCCGCGGGTGTTTGAGGCTGTCAAACCCTACGTCCTGCCGAAACTACGGGAAGAGAATGAGCGGGCGCGTAGTAAGGGCAAAAAGAAGAAGAGTGTCAAAGACGTGGTTCAACAAGGTGAATGCGCTGCCCTTTGATTGCGAGACATTTCTCCTGACAAGCGTACTCAGATGACTTCGAAGTATCGATCTTCCTCACTGAAATCAGGACCCGTCACTGCCTTCTTGTCAAGAATAAGACATTCAAGCAACAAGGCCTAATGAAGAGCAACAATGGCAACAAGCTCACCAGAACGGACCGTGACACTGTCATGGTTCAGGATGAAAGCGACGAAGAGAACATCAATCTAGATGATATACCTGCTGCGGAAGATCAAGATAGGGAAGGGAGTTACGGCGACCCAAGTCATGCGTCTGCAGGTCGCGATCTCGACACGGGAGTGGATGACAAGAAGAAGCTGGGTTTCAACACAACGTACGAGGGATTCAGTATCTGGGGTTGGGTGCTGTGTCTCTTTGTTGAGCGTAAAGGCGGTCCTAGCAAAAATGGGTCTGGGATCCAGGGCGGTTCGCAGGCGCTCATGCAAGACTGGATCCAATCCACGCAGGAACAAAAGGACGATGATACGTGATGTCCGCTCCTCGAGAAATACGGAGCTTGGTTACCGTTCTCAGGATGGAATTCTGCAGTGGCCCCGAGGAAAACCCACGGCACATGTGTTGGAGGATGTTTTGTAGGATACCACCGAGAAAGATAGCATGCCTCAAAAATTGGTTTCAGGAGATAGGATTATGGTGCCGGCTCTTAAAACCATGTTTTCATGTTTGGGCCAACTCCTGTGTCAAACAGTGTTTCCGCCAAAGATACCTAGTACCAACGGCAGCAGATGGAAGCAGCGTTGGCTGTGAAAATCGATGTTTAATGCAGACGACACGGAGCCGCATTGTTTTAGCCTGCCAGCCCCCTCGCTTCGTGCAGCGTGACGAACAATTCAGTGAATAATAGTTGTCCGCAACAAGACAATCTGGCTACATCATGCGGTCAAGCCATTAAGCCATGCCGGAGATTGAATGACAGAGTTCAGCTCGGCTACCAAGTGTTCTGGACAGGCAGGCGACAAAAGGGCACGTTTCGCTTGTTCCAGAACCTCCAGCCCAGTGTGATACGAGTCTGGAGCAGCTTTGGGACGATTTTGTGGTTCAAGGTTCCACTAGACTGCAGCTCGTGGCGCTTGCTCGCGCAATTTCCACGTGGTTGTGGCTGCCCCTTTTCTCTCCTGAGAACAATCATCTGAACCCTGCATGATGCATGGGCTGGCGGCGTTTCGTTGCCTTTTTGTATCCATGCCCGCGGCCAGACCCGTTCCTTCTCGTTCCAGGTCGTTTGTACATATACGAGGTGGTGGCGCATATTATTGAGACACGAGGGAAGAGTTGGACACGAGGCAGGATCAAATGCAGGATTGTTGCGGATCCAATGGCTCCCCGTTATCAGCACAACAGCCCGTCAGCCTTACTGCGCAAGACGCACGGAGAAAACTAAGGAGATGCATGCGACATGTCACATTGTAACCTCAGGTCAGGAGGCACTAACTTGCTCACCTCCGAGGTGCAGAACCTCCTCCGGGCTGAGTGGCTGGTATACTACTTTTAGATACAAACGATGAGGCACGTGTCACCTTGTCCAGCACCCATCCAGTGCCATGCCCGCTGATTATTAAGTACAGCTTATCGTACACAAATGAACTGGTGGCGCAATGGATATGGTTGACAATGCTCAAGTGGAGTGTCAGATTCTTTGCTTTTGCGGGATGGCCCGGCAGCTCTTTTGATCCTGCTGCGGTCAGATGTTTGGGAGGTTGCAACAAGCCACAGTATGGCGGCGAGTGGATGTCTTTCGCAGTGGTAAACGACGGTGAGAATGGGCAGGCCAGCGCAGGGAAATTGCCGCGGGGCTTGGGGCCAACCTCGTCTGATCTGAAATGGTGCGAGATGCTAGCGACGAAACGGAAGCTGCATGGAATCAAATGCGAGATTCGAGAAGCGAGCAAGCCCAAGGTCCCCAGCTACCAGCTAGCCACAAAATCTCTCTCAAGCTACTCGGGTAACCAGTCCAAGTAGTACGAGTTCAGTAATTCGTAGCTGGAGGGGCTTGGGCACATCGCTACCACCAATGTGGATAGCTTCCCCACGCTTCTGACTGCGTGCATGCGCCAGCAATACGCCCACGGATATTTCCAGAGGGCGTCCTCCAAGTCTGCGCAAAGTCTCGAAACAGTAAGTGGTGCCAGCTGAAGCTGGAGGAAAACATTTCTAATCCCATTTGACGGAGAGGCAGGCCAACAAGAATCGGCGCCAGGTCATGTGCCAAACTGCGACCCAAGAATTGTCAACTGCACCAGGAGCTGTGTTGGCCGGCCAGGAAACTACGGTTACGGTGACCGATCCGTTAACGCCATGCTTTCGATCCTATCCCTACCTTCTCTACAAGACTCTGGTGACTTGAATGCCCATCATGACGGAATCGATTGTGGCACAAAGAACCAGTGGCACCACACAAGAACGATTTTCAACGCACAGTTTGTGCACAACAAAAACCTTGTACCCCGATTGCCACACTCAGGGGTTAACATGAAACACACTATCCCATACAAACTTTTTCCATTCTCAGCTGCAGGTGTTTTGTCGAAACTTGGGGGGTGGCAAACTGAATGAATGTCTTGTCGCCTGCTGATCCAGGGGTAAAAGAGAAGGATCTTCAGGAACCCGCTGACCACCACCGCCACCATCATCACCCACGGTCCAAAACCCCTCCAGCGATACGCAGTCCCCTCTGTTTAGAGCTCGAGGCTCGTTGAAGATCTGAACATCATCACATCACCCATCCCACCTTTGAAACAGACTGTTGAAGAGAAGCGCACTAAGAGGAGTCCTATGACTGCATAATCGACACAGTAGATGGCGCATGCAGAGGGGATTCGCGTTCGATAGGAAAAGTAGTCGTGGTCGGCTCTCACTGCTCAGTGCTCGCTGCACGAACTGCCCCAGGTATCCATGCAGGGTACCCAATCCACTAATTATGGATAGAATATGTCACTTTTGGAGAATCGTTGACCTTGTTACATCCAATCCAAGCGCGCGCTTGGCCACGATTTGAAACAGGTCTTTCCGCGTGACAGGTCTGATCCGAGCGAACCCCAAAAAGGCCATCTTCGATCGCTTTAGAAAGAACCTGTACAAACGGCTGCAAGCTGAGCGTGGAAATGGAAGTTACCGGAAGAGGGCAGTGATGTGTATTCCTTGCAGAAGCCATGGAGCCATGGCTTTGCTGACGAATCAGGCTATGAGGATGAGCCTCCCTATCCGACAAAGTCCGCCCTTCAGCATCCTTCAACGAACGTGCGTCGGCTGAGGCAGGGCTGAAGGCACCAATTGCATCCCATCTGACAGGCACAAAGCGGGCATAGCACTCGTAGATCACAGGAATAGCACGACTTTCCAAGGTTTGTACGGATCACGGGGTCGACCGCTGACCACACTCCTTGCATGCTTTTTGGGGAGCGCGATTCCGGATTTCTTGATGGAGGTACGGAAAAAACCATTTGTGGCACTGCCGGAGTGGACATACACACCATCATGGCATACGTTGAAGGCCACGTTGCGGGTTACCGCCAATGAGCACGATGCCGGCCACAAGGTGAAACCGGATACTGGGAGGGGAAAATATCCCAGGTACCTACGTATGGCTACCCAACAGGACTCGTACTCGGGCTAAAGGGCAACTCGGCACAGAAGGACACCCACATCGTTGGAAAACCAGTACGAGATGCTCAGAGCAACACCATCCCCTTCCCATTTGGGGACATAGCGACGGCTCGTCAATGCCGGTTGCATTCACTCTCCCGAAAGTTTGGGCCTCGAGTTGTACACCGCTATCTCTGAAGCAAGGCAAAAGTGGAACTGGGAAATAATTGTTATTAGACAAACGGACCTTGAAATATCCTGGGGAGCAACGTCCTCATCATCATGCCGAATTCCCTGCGTGGGCAAGGGAGACGGATGGGTCTCACAATTTGCTTGGTGATTTCCGGGCAGACACAAGCGGAGACAGCGACAACAATCTCCCCCTCCCCTTGCGAGGCGCGCCCGAGAAACCCCAGGCTGTTCCGGTCAGCTGGGTCCTTGTCTTTGTCAGTGTGCGCGCCTGAGTGACTTAGCGCCTGGGCCTAGTCAAGAAAACTGGAGGAGTCAATATACCCCTAGCCCACTTCTGGACAGTGGATGCCAGGGGCAGCAAGGGGGAAAGGCGTCTCCTGAGGAGTCTCGAAATCTTGCGTGTCAAAAGCTTGCAAACGAAAACATGCCACCACACCGGCAAGCCTCAAGCGGGCTCCACCTCAGAGGCAGACCGTCACACAGCCAAGTAGTCGCCAAAAAGTTGCATGGATGACTCTGGGTCAGCGTCACCATTTCTGGAACAATTCTCGGTGCTCCCGGGGGGTGAGGCTGCCAGGGATCAGAAAAATAAATAACTGACTCGTATCCTCCCTCTTCCAAACGGCGTCCTTCTCAAACAAAACACTATCATCTGCTCCTCGCCCCAAGCATCAACAAACCTGATCACCAGGCCAACAAGCACTCCAGAGAGCTTCTCATCACTACCGAATACCTTGGAACAAAGCATTTTTCGACAAAACCAAGTCGACGCTCAATCATCCCAACCATCACAATGCCTGCCGGATCTAAATATCCTCCTTGCCCGGGTCCTCCCCCAAACCGTCCTCTACCAGCAATCCCCAAAAAGCATGCTGCATGAAACAAATGCTCTTCATCAGCACCATTTCAGTTTGTTCGACTTCATTCAGGACAGGCTCTTGGAACAGAATGTCGCTGCCTATGTCGATGCCTGAGAACCTCGAGTCGTTCTGCCTGCGTCCACATGTCAGGTAGCCACATGACATGCAGTACCTCAACCTAATTCATGCATTCCAATTGGCGTTCTCCACCTTTTGAGGAGGTTCAACAACAGCATCCCTCCCATGTGGGAAGAAGCTCTTGGCACCATGGGACTCACTCGCGCATACAACGAAAGAGGACGTGCATGAGTCGATGCGCTGGCAACTCCACCGGTCACAAGCACAACACTCTTGCATCAGCCAGGCAACCACACGCCCACGTTCTGCCCGCGCTTCCAGTCCTCGCAAGAACTGCTCCACCAGAGAAACCCGCAGCCCTGTCGTGCTGCAGATACGAGGATGTTTTCAGGTCCTTTCAACCACCCACCACCGCCGAACCCCTAATACCTTGATTACACACCACTTTGTTTTCCCCACAACTTGCGCCCGATGATTTCAGCCTCAAATTCTTCACCCGTGTTGTCTACCCTTCCTGATCTATCCGTCAGGCAGAAACAACTCGGGTGACTATTTCCTATTACACAAGAACATGTACCAACACACCACACCCAGTCTGATATACTTGTACCAATAGTGGATACCCCAACTTTGACACATTCGTTTGCGGAGGGAAGACAGGCTCTCGCCTCGCCTTGCTAAAGTGGCCCAAAAGGGTCCATTGGCAGGCATTTGTACGTTACTTGAGTGGACATTAATGAGCCCCATGATGATGAGTT